TCCTTGAGATGTTCGGCAATGAATATTCTTCAACAATCCCCGTGCTGCTCTTGCTATGGCCGTTCCACGTGACATGACTTGTTGTCCGACCAGAACGTTCCTGACAAACCTCGCACATTGGTTTTGGCACCGGTCGGTTTTAGGGCCGTTATCCTTGTTCACCCCCTGGGTCGGGTAGCCGTGGAGAAGTGCCAGTTGGGGAAAGCAACACAGGAAGAAATACTACGCGGATTGGAGGAGAGCGTCGTGTGCTTGTGTCTATCGTGGAATATCTCACTTGAGGGTGTTGGTGTTAACCCCGCGAAAACGAACGTTCGCTTCTTCCCGGTCGAACTCCCAAGCGGCGGTCGTGTTTTCACAACGCAGTGACATTTTTTTTCTGTTGTAGTCTCGTCTACGTTTTTGGATCACGTGCAGAAAGTATTGGATTTATTTGAATGGGGCCTCCTGTACCGGCAGGAGGATGTCACTCATTTCATATGGTGCCTCGCTGATTGATTCGGTTTCTCTCAGCGCGACATCACACCCCAAAAGGGTCCAACGGTGGACATTCCACGGTGGAGAATCCATGTAGACATAGTTGGGCGTGTGGGATGGTCTCTGTTTTGGTATCTCTTTCTACCTATTCGACGCTGTTGGTGGGAAAACAGGGACTGGTCAATAGGTTCGTTCATTAATCCGAATTAGGGGGGCCTGCAGCTGGGGTGGACCTGTGCCGGACCCGTTCCCCTTCTGAGGTCTCTCCGATGAACTCCAACCCAGATGTAAATTGGAGTTTTAACAATCTCGCAAAAAGTACTGAAGAAATCTTGTCCGAACAAACGGAAATCAAATCTCAAATCAAGTAACTTGTGTCACAAAGAGTCAATACTCCACGCAGGTCATTTGACGAAGCCAACCAAACCCAACCCCCCCCCATGCGAGAACGAACCCAGCCCAACCTTTTTGTACTCAATGTCAGCGATATTTCGCTGTGCTCTAGCAGCAGCACGATGCTGCAGATGCCAGGAGGCTGTGTAGCCTACCTCAGAGGTTCACACTCTGTGCGGCTCCAACCGCGAGAGACTTGGAATGGAAATATGAACATTAATTGCTGACTCCCGAGTCAGATTGATGTTGCTGGTACTGAAGAGGAGTGAGAGTAGTGGGCGAGCTTAGGGCTGCACCTCTCTTCTCGAATACCGGACAAATAAACCAATCACACGAAAGATCCGGAATGCTTCCAGAATGATCTATTTCTGGAAGCCCTCCTACGTTCTAGAAGAGTATCAACTGCAACCTAGATCTAGAACGCTTCTAGAACCTTACAGAAGCTTACAGAAGTTTCCGGAGAGGCATCCAGAAGCTACAGCAGGAACCAGAAGCTTCCAGAAGGCTTCCAGAAGCTACACACGTCCGACGTAGATGTCCCGGTCAACCTTCACCTAGCATGCTTCCGGAATATTTCTAGAACAAGAGAATACATGCCACGGAGAGATGGATTCTTTTCTAGTGCTACGCAGACTAGTTGCTGCAATCGTATTCAAGATCAAGCCGTGTCCGACTACTGGTCGTCTCGACGCACGATTTTTCCTGACACGACGCCTCGATCAAGCAACTCATTCACAATGGTGGACGGCATCACATTATCCTTGTCTACCTCAACCCCTTCGTTGGCATCGTATCGAGAATAAATTCCTTCTGGTATGGCGGGTATGGAAGGAAGCTTCACAGATCTTCGATCAACACGAAAGATCCTTGATCTGCTGAATGATGGAGGCGAATCGGTGCTTTGGGAGGTACTTGGTCGCGATATCAGCCACCTGGTGCTCGTTGGGCCGGTGGTGAAGAGTGATATGTCCCCATAGTACTAGCTCCCTGATGAAAAAGTACCTCAGGGCCACGTGCTTCGTGCGTTGAGAGTGCATGGCATTCCCGGCCACTGTCAGCGCTCCGGTGCTGTCGCTGTTGATGGGAACCTATCCGAAGGTCTTGAAGTTGAGTTCCGTCATAAAATTTGAGATGTAGACCGCCTCTCTGGCTGAGTAGCTAAGTGCTTGAATCTCGGCTTCGACCGTGCTGTGAGCGGATAGAGTTTGAGTCTTCGCACCGTAGCTGATGAGTCCTCCAGCCAGAAAGAAGAGATATCCCGTGGTAGATCTTCCGTTGCCGGGGTTTGCTCCGAAGGATGAACCCGTTAACGCCACTAGCCGAAAATGTCCTCTCTTGGAGACGATAGGAAGAACTGGATTACCCCGACGGTATCGCAGAACGTGCTTGGCTGCTGTCATGTTCACCTGCGCTGGGTTGCTGCAGGCCTTGGAAAGTTGTAGGGCAGCGTAGGAGAGGTCGAATCGCGTGCACTGGGCCAGGTAGAGGATGCTTCCTGTCATCGACTGGTAGATTTTCTTGTCCGTGGGTCCTAGGATTTGGTCCTGAGGTTGATTCGTGGAGATTTCCGCTCCGTATCCAGGAGTGCTCACTGGGTTGGCCTCTTGCATTCCGAACCGCTCCAGAAGTGTGTTCACGTAGTGCTCCTGTGAAATGGCCAGGGTTCCTTGCTCGTAGTCCCGCTGCACGTCGATCCCGAGGATCCGCTTTACCTCTCCCATGTCGGTCATCTCGAATCGATCCGTGAGCTCCTTCTTCTTCTGGTCCACGAGCTGCTGGTCTCCTCCTGTGATGAGAATGTCGTCTACGTAGACCGTGAGAATCACGATGATGTTGCCGCTGGTATACACGTACACGCAGGGGTCGGATTGAGTCCTTTTCCATCCGAACACCGTGAGGGATTCGTCCAGGGTGTCCTTCCAGAGCGCAGGGTACTGCGACAGGCCGTAGAGGCTCCGTTCTAGTTCGTACATCATGGGTTCTCCCGTCGCGTAGTTCTTGGCGGATGTACCGGGGGCGGGTCTGACGTACACATCTCTGTCGCAGAGGGCGTTCAGGAAGGCACCGACAACGTCCAGTTGGTAGATGGGCCAGTTGTTGTGGCAGCCAATGGCGCACGTCATGCGAATGCTCCCGATACGGCATACTGGTGCGTAGCTGCGTCCGTAGTCCTGTCCTGGCTCTTGACGATGTCCTCCGACTACCAGGCGAGCTTTGAAGCGTCCGTCCAGCGTTCTCTTGAAGGCGAATTTCGTTCCGAGGATCTTTTCTCCCTTGGGAACGCTGCTGAGGGGCACCAGATTGTAGACGTTGTGTTTCCGCAGATTGTCCATTTCCTTGCTGCACGCTCCTTTCCATTCTTCGCGCTGGGGAGAGCTCATGGCTTCGTCGTAGGTGTTGGGGATTTTGATCGCTTGATTCGTCTCCTCCAAGATCCCGTGGTGTTCGTGAGTGGTCGTGACGTAGGCGTGAGCACGCGGCACCGTGAAGGGGTCTTCCGCAACGTGGGCGAAATCCTCAGTATCGCCAGGGCATGGGAGCTGGGCTTGATCGGCTATCTCAGCCAGCTGAGTGAAGGAAAGACCGGATGGCTCTACGCGGCCCGTTGTAGCATGGGCTCGACCGCGGTCGTTCATGGTGACTTCCAGATTGGCAGGAACCAAGTTGACGTCGATATGATCGTCGCTGGTGGGCTTCCCGCGCGTGCTGGCTCTGGTGACCTGCAGGAGCCGCATGCCGGAGGATCCAGTTGATGCAGAAGTGTCCGGTTCAGTCGGGTTCGACGATGATGGACTGGGGCTAGATGCGTGGGTCTCGGATGACGATCCAGCTGGCGTCGATGGGAGGTGTGGTGATGGAGCGTCCCCGTCGCCGAGATCTTGCCGGTTTCCATGTTCGTCCTCGTGCCCGTTCAGTTCTAGGCGAAGCTTCTCCCGAGCGAGATTGTCTTGCTGCATCTTCCGGACTTCTTGCCGAAAGAGTTCGTTCTGCGCCGTGAAGTCCAGGTTGCTCGTCGAGTGGGGGCTGTCCAGCAGGGAGGTGAAGCTCAGCACGTCGCTCTCGTACCCGTTTGCTTCAGTGGAATACTGGAAGGGCACTGACCGGGGTGGAGATTCGATGAAAGTCACATTCCGGCTCTCGACCACGGCCCCTTTCGATGGATTCAATACCCGGTAGGTCTGGCTGTCGAGGCCGAAACCACAAAGCTTGCTTTCGAAAGCTCTGTCGTCCAGCTTCTTTCGGTATCTCGCGGTGTACGAAGGCGCGCGCTCCAATGACCCGAAGTCCCGAGAGATCAGGTGACTTATTGTACAACTTCGAGTATGGCGTAGCTCTTCCCAGTGCTGAGTGTGGGGACCTGTTCAACAGGTATGCTGCAGTCAGCATTAACTCCCCCCACATGGACGGCGAAAAATCTCCATCCTTCAGAAGACACCGGGTGACTTCGGCCAGGGATTGTCCGTCCCGTCCCGATACACCAATTTGTTGAGGGGTGTTGGTGGCGGCGTATTCGAGCTTGATAGCTGAATTCTTGCAGTAGTCCCGAAATTCGGATCCGGTGTTCTCGCCTCCCTTGTCGCAGCGGATGGCCTTGATCCAGTAGCCTCCTGCCGCCGCGACGCACATGTTGTACGTGTGCACCGCCTCGGTCGTGTCAGAGTTCTTGCGAAGCAGGTACACTTCTTTCATTTTCGTGTAGTCGTCGGTGATCTTGCACACGTACGGGAAGGAGCCTCCTTTATATTTCGCAGGTGGATTCACAGGCCCCATGTTGTCGATGACCACAAGCTGTCCAGGCCGTGATAGCTCGCGAGTCGATTGCTTCGGGTGGGGGGACTGCTTGTGTTTCGCGATCTGGCAGACCCCGCACGGGGAGAGATTGCCGCGATAGTCCACCCCGGTACCCGCATCTTTCCGGAGGATGTCCAGGCTCCGAGCATTGAGATGTCCAAGCCNGCACGTTGAGATGGGAAGGTTGCTTGTTATTGCAGAAGCGGGTCTGCTACAGGTCTGAGGTGAGGCGGATTGCCCTCAACCTGGGGGCACGCAGATAGCTAAGTCCCGATGGGGTACGTCCTGAGAGGGTATACCTCCTGACGTCCCCCATCTTAATCTAGACCGACTGTGTACACTATCTGTGCCATACAGCAACACTCCTTAACACTCGGGAGTCAGCAATTAATAAATGCATCTTCATATTTCTATTCCAAGTCTCTCGCGGTTGGAGCCGCACAGAGTGTGAACCTCTGAGGTAGGCTACACAACCTCCTGGCTGCTAGTGCACAGCGAAATATCTCTGACATGCTTGTGTATCGCGATCTGGCAGACCCTGCAAGGGGAGAGACTGTCGCGGTAGTCCACCCTGGTACCCGTGTCCTTTGTAAGGATGTCCAGGCTCCGAGCATTGAGATGTCCAAGCCTCCTGTGCCAGGTGTCCGCGATCACGAGCGTAAGACAGACGGCGTTCGCCGTGTGGGTCTGTGACTGCTTCTGGTGGGGCACGAGGGATTTCGTGCCAGATGGCTGGACGTTCTGCTCGAACGTGATGTTGAGGGTGCACATGCCTAGGGCTCGCGGATCTTGTGTGAGTGGAATCACCTTGTCTTGGATAGTGAGGTGCGGCGTGCTCTCTTCGACGACGCAGCGCAATCCTCTTTTCGGGAGGGAGGTGGGCGAAAAAATGTTGCGACCAAGTCCCGGAACGATGAGTCCCTGAATCTGCACGCGCAATTGCTGTCCTCGATTGTCCTTGACGGTGCAGTGTAGGATGCCCGCGGCCGTGCCTTTGAGTTGTCTTTCTCCGGCCACGTCCACGATCTTTGGAGAGTTTCGCTGAGTGTAATCGTGAAGGTTTGCGTCGGGGATGAGGTGACTGTCAATCATGGTCTCCGATGCTCCCGTGTCTACCTGCAGGCCTACCCCGGTGCAGCTCGCGGCGAAGTTGTGTCCTGAGATGCGGGAACACGTGCCAAACATGAAGCCGCTGTCAAAGGCGTCCTCGTCCCGGGTGAAGTCGACAACTGCCACTTCATTGTTTGAGTCGTGCTTGTTGGACGCCGACGAGCAGTGAGTGCAGTTGGAGCACGCGGTGAATGCTTTACTTGAGTCCTTGGTGTCTTCCGGGCGCTTTCCTCCTTGCTGGTAGCATTCCTCGTCCGAGTGAGACGTGGTGTTGTGCTTGGAGCACCACTTGGTAGCTCCGGCGGGCTTCGTTTTCTTCTTCGCCCTGTTCTTGATCTTGGGACAGTTCCTCCTGATGTGCCCCGGCTCGTAGCAGCTGTGGCAGATGATATCAGACGCGGTCGTTGCCATGGCAAATCCTCGACCAGCTATGCGTCCCTTCCACTCCTTGCGCGATTGTTCGTCCAAGAAGAGGTTGCGCATGGTGGATTGCATGTCCAGGACGTTGAAGGTTGGGTCTCTGAACACCATCAGTTTGACGTCCTTGTATTCGTCGGAGAAGCCCTGTACGCAGATGTCCTTGAAGCGGCGGTCGGAGATGGGTTCTCCCATCTTATCCAGCTGGGTGCGAAGTAGGTGCTTCTGGTTGAAGTAGTCGTCGGGATTTTCACCAGGGTTTATGGGGTTGTTCTCCAGCTCCTCCATCTTGGCCCTGATGACCTCGTCCGTTACCCTTTCATAGTTGTTGCAGAGCTCCTCGAAGGCAGCTTGTCCGTCGCCGCTGATGCCAGTGTCGTCTTCGTGCTTCTGTATCGACAAGGCGGCTGGAAGTTCCACTAGGAGGAAAAGAATGGCGTAGAGATCTTCGTTTGCCCTTGTGTAGGAGTCGAAGGCCGCTGTGTCTGCGGGATCTGGCTTCCTTTGTTTCTTATGCAGTGGCAGAATGTCCTTCCTGGTCACACCTAACATCACGCAGAATTTATTCATCCATGTCTTGAACTCAGCTGGGTCCTTTCCGTCGAATTTCTTGAGGCCTTTGATCACGGTTGCCAGGTTCGTAGAACTATCGCTGGCGAAAACGCTTCCACCTCCTGTGTTGCTCGTTGCAGTTTCCATTGCTCGTTCCAGCTTTATTTTCTTCGTCATGATGAAAGTAAGTCCTACTGTAGGAGTAAGTTTGCTCGTGGTACTACTGCCTGTCCCCACCCCGCTCCTGCTACTGATATAGAGGACTCCGGTTGTGGTTTTCTTGTTTCCGATCCCGCTCCTGCGACTGATATAGTGGACTCCGGTTGTTGATCGCCTCCACTGATGATACAGTGTAGTTCCTTGTACACCTGATGCGTATGCCGCTCGAGACTCCCGCGCACGTGACCCTTGCTGCTAGCTCACCACAGAAATACCCACTACTGCCGCAGGGGTGGTAACGTGGGTATACGACGTGAACCCTCAGCACCTTGGTGTAGATGACCAAGTTTTCGCGTTTGCTTGTGTCGCCGTTGACCGATGACGGCGTCGCAATCTCCAGAAATCTCCGAAACCAGGTTCTCTCGTTGTCCACGGATGAAGGTTGATGTCCCGAGAAGCGGTTGCCTTGGTCTTCCCGTGATGTTCGCAGCTCGTAGTGTGTGCGTTAGCCGAGGCTCATAACTTGTCAGCGATATTTCGCTGTGCATTAGCAGCAGTACGATGCTGCAGATGCCGATAGGCTGTGAAGCCTACCTCAGAGGTTCACACTCTGTGCGGCTCCAACCGCGAGAGACTTGGAATGGAAATATTAAGATGTTTTTATTAATTGCTGACTCCCGAGTCAGATGTTGCTGGTACTGAAGAGGAGTGAGAGAGGTGGGTGAGCTTAGGGCTGCACCACTCTTCTCGAATACCGGACAAATAAGCCAATCACACGAAAGATCCAGAATGCTTCCAGAATGATTTCTGGAAGCCCTGCTACATTCTGCTGCAACCTAGATCTAGAACGCTTCCAGAAGCTTACAGAAGGAACCGGAATTTCCATAAGGTTTTCAGAAGCTACACACGTTCTNCCTAGATCTAGAACGCTTCCAGAAGCTTACAGAAGGAACCGGAATTTCCAGAAGGTTTTCAGAAGCTACACACGTTCTACGTAGATGTCCCGGCGGTCAACCTTGACCTAGCATGCGTCCGGAATATTTGNTTCAATTTTTTGGCTCCCGCTCTCAATCGTATACTCCGCTCTCAATCAGGCGAAAACCCTGTTGTAGATGTCCCGGCGGTCAACCTTGACCTAGCATGCGTCCGGAATATTTCTAGAACAAGAGAATACATGCCACGGAGAGATGGATTATTTTCTAGTGCTACGCAGACTAGTTGCTGCGATCGTATTCAAAGGTCAAACCGTGTCCGACTACTAGTGGTCTCGACGCACGATTTTTCCTGACTCCGCGCCATCTGTGCCGCGTCTCTCTACAAAATTAGTGACGACATCACACACATAACACCTGTATTCAGGAAAAAACGGAAAAATAGTCGACAACACAAGATATGTTTGTCCGTGCGCCACGGTTCGATGCCGTCCGCCTGCTCCGGTGCCGCTGAGATGTTTGTCCGTGCGCCACGGTTCGATGCCGTCCGCTTGCTCCGGTGCCGCTGCTCCGGTGCCGCTGCTCCGCTGCCGCTGCTCCGGTGCCGCTGCTCCGGTGCCGCTGTGGCCAGTCCTAGCACGACCAAACTCGACCCGCTCCGCTTCGTACATGCTCTCGTTGCTGTCCTCCCCAGTCGGTTTCTCGCTTTCTCCCTCGTTGCACTTAGGGTTCTTGGTCTGAAGATTCTCGCGCCGAAGGGTCAACCAACCCAATCAGCTCGTCACCACCTGTCCCCTCCTCCTTTGATGGCAAAACCAGGTTACTGAGACAGTACAGCTCCCTCTAGCAAACCTAGGGCCGTGTACACAGTGCCCGTCCACCTTTCTGACGACGTCTGCCTCCGCGCACAAAGATGAGATGGGCATTGCTGCCTACACCGACGGCCTGGAGGCCCGCGCATCTGCACCTTTGTACCTGACGTACCAGTCAGTGCCGACCCAACTCCACCACTACGCACGCCTCGCGGCAGGTGCGCCGCAGCAAGAAGGTATCGGTCCCTTGAGAGTGAGTCTAGCCCTGCTAGAACGACCCCCCCCCTCGCTATGAGTCATGCCTACGCAAAACCTTCCCGAGGCAGCGAGGGGAAGAACAAAGTGTGGGAGGGGTTGTTCCGAACTTCAAAAGCACGGTAAAAAGCCCTGTCTCCGGGCGCAGAAACCTGAAGAACGATTTTTATGTCATATTTTTCCTTGACTATTTATTATTTCGAAATGACCAGAAATAAATGTTCATTCACAATCTGCTGGAGGATCTTTTTTTCAGAGAAAAAATCTGAGATCGGATTTCGACAGCTCTCGGAATGTGCTAGATGAATTGTCTCTCTGATTTCAAAAATATAGAGCACGCAGTTATGCCCCATAAATAAATCGAGTCTGGCAGGGCATTTTGTTCACAATCTTTTGGGTGCGAGAACCAAATTCACGATTTGAAAATAAAGTGCGGCAAACGATTCCTCTCGAAATTCCGCGGATGGATTTTCTTTCGGATTTTACATAAAAACTAAATTTCATGAGGAATTCCAGATTTTGGGTAAAATCGAGACATTCTCCAGTCTTCAACTTTTCATGATCCACAATAAGTTGAAATTAGTGTCCTGCAATTTTCAGTTTGGGTTGAAACCTTTTTTGTTTGCCTTGATGTATGGGTCACTATCGTGGCCCAGATTTCCTCTATCTAATTCGACATATTAGGGTTAGGGTTAGGGTTAGACTGTTTCGGAGCACAAACGGCACTTCTAGATTATTTAACTTCTAGATATAGGAAGAACTACGGTTCCCGGAAATTTATTTGATGGAAACCACGGAGTTGAACGCGGCAAAAAAACACGCCGGGGGCGGGCAAGGCGGCAGAAAAAAAAAAGGGCAGCAGCTTGCTGCACATCACATCATCACACATCGCCACACGGCGGTGTGCTCTTCATTCTGCACCACCAGCGCTTCAAAGCAGGTTGTCGTTGATGAGGAGGTTGACACAGACCACGGCCATGGTGGTTGAGGGGGGCTGCACAAAGTTCAATCTGTGAGAAGGGTAATCAAGGCGCCTCACTTCCCTATTTTTTGCTGTGTGCGAAGAGAGACAGACAGACCTTTTCCACGAGAGAGAGAGAGAGAGGACAGAGAACACCAACCAGCAGCAGGAACCAGCAAGAAGAGAGGACGCACGCCCCGCTATATAGCAGAGCTCATCACCGAGAGCCGTGTCTAGACAGGTGGTATGATCTTCCTCTTTCTCCGCCTGGTGCTTCTTCTCTCGGCCGGTAATAACCCAGTAGCAACAGCAGACAGAAACACACACACACAACAAGGTTTTCGTGTGATTGAGAGCGAAGTTTCTGATTGAGAGCGAGATTGCGCGATGCGCTGTAGCTGGACTACCGCTGAGAGGTGGAGCTTGCTGCGTGACTTGAATTGAAGGCCTAGCCCGTAGCTACACGCCGATACCCTGGTCATCCTGTGGGCGTCTCTCGTTGTGGAGCTACAGCGGGGAGCAGAATCTACAGCAGAGCTCACCGCCCGTGATCAAATCGCCCTGAAACAGTTTGAGGCAGGAATAGCCAATATGGGGAAATCTAGCAACTTGTCTAGCTCCTAGCTGCAGCATCCGATCGCGATGACACGCATATGCTCGTGACGCTGCTGATGAGACCTTCAATTTACGCCGCTTCTTGGAAGAGCCCGCCCCCTACTTCCCAAGAAATGGCAAGAGGCGTCTGAACCCGAAATTTCAATTTTTTTGGCTCCCGCTCTCAATCGTATACTCCGCTCTCAATCAGGCGAAAACCCTGTTACACACACCACAACACGCACACGCCTGCTTTTTTGTTCTTCCGCACGCAGACCAACCAACCACCCCCAGATAGATGTAGGTCTGACCTTCGTCGGCAGCAGCGATGGAGTCCACACAACAGCATCACCTTCCGTGGCACCTGCTGTAGTTTGATCACATCAGGCTTCCCTCTACTACTGCTGCTGCTGCTGTGCTGCTGCTGCTGTTGCTACAGTTATGATGGTCTCTTTGCTCCTCTTCTGAAGCTTAAATCTATTTCTTCTCCTGAAAGAAAATTCGATTTAGAAAAACGCAGCGCCAGCAGTCTTCTTTTCTAAATCTGAGAGCCACACTCCAGTTTTAGGCGCTCAATGTTCCCCCGCTTTGAGAAAGGTTCCCAGAAATTGACTCTTCCTTCTAATTCTAGAAGTCGAAAAACGTTGGCCGAAACTCGCCATTAGACTGTTTCGGAACACAAACGGCACTTCTAGATTATTTAACTTCTAGATATAGGAAGAACGACGGTTCCCGGAAATTTATTTGATGGAAACCACGGAGTTGAACGCGGCAAAAAAACACGCCGGGGACGGGCAAGGTGGCAGAAAAAAAAAAGGGCAGCAGCTTGCTGCACATCACATCATCACACATCGCCACACGGCGGTGTGCTCTTCATTCTGCACCACCAGCGCTTCAAAGCAGGTTGTCGTTGATGAGGAGGTTGACACAGACCACGGCCATGGTGGTTGAGGGGGGCTGCACAAAGTTCAATCTGTGAGAAGGGTAATCATGGCGCCTCGCTTCTCAATTTTTTGCTGTGTGCGAAGAGAGACAGACAGACCTTTTCCACGAGAGAGAGAGAGAGGACAGAGAACACCAACCAGCAGCAGGAACCAGCAAGAAAAGAGGACGCACGCCCCGCTATATAGCAGAGCTCATCACCGAGAGCCGTGTCTAGACAGGTGGTATGATCTTCCTCTTTCTCCGCCTGGTGCTTCTTCTCTCGGGCAGTAATAACCCAGCAGCAACAGCAGACAGAAACACAAACACACACCACAAAACGCACACGCCTGCTTTTTTCTTCTTCCGCACGCAGACCAACCAACCACCCCCAGATAGATGTAGGTCTGACCTTCGTCGGCAGCAGCGATGGAGTCCACACAACAGCATCACCTTCCGTGGTACCTGCTGTAGTTTGATCACATCAGGCTTCCCTCTACTACTGCTGCTGCTGCTGTGCTGCTGCTGTTGTTACATTTATGATGGTCTCTTTGCTCCTCCTCTGAAGCTTAAATCTATTTCTTCTCCTGAAAGCAAATTCGATTATAAAAAGCAGCGCCAGCGGTCTTCTTTTCAAAATCTGAGAGCCACACTCCAGATTTAGGAGCTCAATGTTCCCTCGCTTTGAGAAAGGTTCCCAGACATTAAACCCTTCCTTCTGAATGTGGAAATATTTTCTAATTCTAGAAGTAAAAAAACGTTGGCCGAAACTCGCCATTATTTCGAAAGTTATGTTTTGAAACATAGTTGGAAAAAATTTCCGGACGGACCATATGTGTGTGTGTGTGACGACCCGTGCTGGTGGACAAGAACCACCTCCAATGGCATGCTTGCTAGAACACAGGAGTTATTAGACATAAGCAGCAGCTGATTGACGCCATCGTTATGTCCTAAGGGTTAGGGTTAGGGTTAGGGTTAGGGTTAGGGTTAGGGTTAGGGTTAGGGTTAGGGTTAGGGTTAGGGTTAGGGTTAGGGTTAGGGTTAGGGTTAGGGTTAGGGTTAGGGTTAGGGTTAGGGTTAGGGTTAGGGTTAGGGTTAGGGTTAGGGTTAGGGTTAGGGTTAGGGTTAGGGTTAGGGTTAGGGTTAGGGTTAGGGTTAGGGTTAGGGTTAGGGTTAGGGTTAGGGTTATGGTTGGGGTTAGGGTTAGGGTTATGGTTAGGGTTATTGTTATGGTTATGGTTATGGTTATGGTTATGGTTATGGTTATGGTTATGGTTATGGTTATGGTTATGGTTATGGTTATGGGGGTTATGGTTATGGTTATGGTTATGGTTATGGTTATGGTTAGGGTTATGGTTAGGGTTAGGGTTA